AGAGCATCAAGGACCTGCCATGAAATACTTAACAATGCTTCCCTACAGGGCTGTGCTAGCATACCTCTCTCTCCAGCCACTCTCCTCCAGAAGTAGGGAACCTACCCAACCATTTTTCTTTTTGTTTCGGATAGGATGGGGAAGAGCTCTATTTTTTGGTTTTGGTCTTTCATCCCGTTAGGGAGATGTCCCCTCACTTCCTGTCCCTGTAATGCCCAATGGGGGGAGCGGTCATCACCAGAACAGGAAGGCACCAACAGCAATAAAAAGATTACCAATACTGCTTTTGTGTCTCCATTAGAAAGATTACCGCTCACTTTCAGTCTTGGCTGAAAGTGAGGTGGACTCTCCCCAACAGGGACACAGCAATAAAAACCTAGGTGCGCAGGGAGGAAAGCATTAAAACCAGATCATATTAGTATCAATGTCGATACTGAGCATTTTAATGAGTGCTCAGAAAAATCCCCCGATACTAGAAACTGATACTGCCCCTTTACATTTTTAATTGAAGCAGCTGCCGTAAGGCCCCACACTTGTTAGAACACTGGCCGGCTGAACATCTCCTCCTCCCGCATCCGCAGCCCTGGCAAGACCCGCAACGCAGCCCTGGCGAGCAACACAGTATGTAGCTTCATATTATTCGGCATTGCTGGGATTTGTAGTCCTCTATAGCTGGTGGTATTCTACATTGCTATATCATGTATTACTGGATTTGTAGCCCCTCCACAGCTTGGAGTCAGTGGTAGAATTACCAGGGTTGCAGCTGCGTCCGGGCCCTGACCCCCCACCACTGTTCTAAAAAAAATTATCTGTATTGTTTTAGAAAAACTGTCGCATGACAAAAAAAAAAAAAAGGTATTGGTAATTGGTATCGGCGAACACTTGAGGAAAAGTATCGGTACATGTACTCGGTCTTGAAAAAATGGTATCTCTAATAGTAACCAATCAGCTTCTCTCTTCAGCTTACATTTTGAAAATGAAATCTAGCAGCTGACTGGTTGCGATGTACAGATGCTCTAGAGCAGGGGTGCCCACAATTTTTGTGTTAAGATCTACGTTTCAATTGACAAGCTACATGAGATCTACCAATGAAAAATAAAACCTCCCTCGCTCTCTCTCTTTCCTTGCTCATCCTCCTGGCTGTCCCTCCTTATTTTTTCTCCTGGCCGTCTTTCTTTGCTCTCTTGGCTGTCTCTCCCTGCTCTCTCTCCTTGCTCTCTCTCCTGGCTCACCTTGCTGTATTTTGCAACAGGCTGTGTAAATTAATATTCTTTGATGTAATACATAGCACTTTAACCACCAGAAAGGCGTCAGGGAGCTTGGCTCAGCAGACTCAGGCTAATAGGTAATCATGTGTGTACAGCTAAATAAATATACCAAAATGGAATAATGGGGCTGCCATTCACACCCTTTGTGATCTACCAGCATCAGCATTGAGAGCTACTGGTAGATCACGATCTACCTAATGAGCCCCCCTGATCTAGATTTTGTCTGCTCCAGTCTCAGTAAATTAGCCTCAAAGTGTTTCAGGGATTTAAAAAGGTCCCCTTTCATCAGGGCTTAGTATTGTTGAAAGAAGTGTGCATTGGATTGATACTATTGAAGGGATCTCCTGAGGGATAATTCGTACGATTGTCCTAAATGCAGGTTAAGTATAATGACATTGCTAGACAAGCTCTAGATTGCAAATTTCCTTTATCTAAAATAGCATTGCTGGCCCACCAACATGGAACGCCTGCCTTTCCTCGATAACTTGGCAAATGCCGAGATTGTATACTAGGGCACCACAAGGATCCAGGGAACTGGTGAAGTTCTGCATAACTATGTGCAACCAGCAGAGGGAAACGGCTTGTCATTTCTAAGGCCACCATAGGTCTTCAGTGATCATCAGAAACCAGACTTAATTCTTGGGTTGTAATGGCAACAAAACAGGTAAATATATGGCTAGGCCCCAAACATTGAACTAGTTTTCATTTTAAAAGTACAACCTACAATGGCGGCAGCTCCAGAGGATTCAATGACGTGACTGCTGTTTGACAATAAATACACCACAGGGAATGTACACAAACAACCCTGCAGTTGTCCCAACACAAGTCGCTCAGCAGTCATATTAATTAAATCAGTCCAAGGAGCTGGTGGAAAGGGTGGTTAGCTCACCTTGCTGTATTTTGCAACAGGCTGTGTAAATTAATATTCTTTGATGTAATACATAGCACTTTAACCACCAGAAAGGCGTCAGGGAGCTTGGCTCAGCAGACTCAGGCTAATAGGTAATCATGTGTGTACAGCTAAATAAATATACCAAAATGGAATAATGGGGCTGCCATTCACACCCTTTGTGATCTACCAGCATCAGCATTGAGAGCTACTGGTAGATCACGATCTACCTAATGAGCCCCCCTGATCTAGATTTTGTCTGCTCCAGTCTCAGTAAATTAGCCTCAAAGTGTTTCAGGGATTTAAAAAGGTCCCCTTTCATCAGGGCTTAGTATTGTTGAAAGAAGTGTGCATTGGATTGATACTATTGAAGGGATCTCCTGAGGGATAATTCGTACGATTGTCCTAAATGCAGGTTAAGTATAATGACATTGCTAGACAAGCTCTAGATTGCAAATTTCCTTTATCTAAAATAGCATTGCTGGCCCACCAACATGGAACGCCTGCCTTTCCTCGATAACTTGGCAAATGCCGAGATTGTATACTAGGGCACCACAAGGATCCAGGGAACTGGTGAAGTTCTGCATAACTATGTGCAACCAGCAGAGGGAAACGGCTTGTCATTTCTAAGGCCACCATAGGTCTTCAGTGATCATCAGAAACCAGACTTAATTCTTGGGTTGTAATGGCAACAAAACAGGTAAATATATGGCTAGGCCCCAAACATTGAACTAGTTTTCATTTTAAAAGTACAACCTACAATGGCGGCAGCTCCAGAGGATTCAATGACGTGACTGCTGTTTGACAATAAATACACCACAGGGAATGTACACAAACAACCCTGCAGTTGTCCCAACACAAGTCGCTCAGCAGTCATATTAATTAAATCAGTCCAAGGAGCTGGTGGAAAGGGTGGTTAAGCTCTTAAAAATAAAACTTATCTGGTCACTTTTGCGAAACAATATATACAGAAAGTATATACTATATCTCTATATATGCCCAATAGTACTTATAGAAACATGTACCTGTGAAAGAAAAAAAGTTAGATATACTTACCTTACCTCTGCCTTCTGCTCGTGGTACCTAAGCTAGGCTGATGTCACTTTCCCAATGGGGAGATCCCAGGGAAAAGCAGCTCAAACCTTGTGAGAGGATACTCTTGCACTGGACTGTCTACTTGTGAGATTTGGGCTACTCATCATTTCTCGGAAAGCTCACTGGAAGAAGGGTAGTGATGTCATGTCCTGCATCATGCAAGACGGGGCTAAGGTAAACTGTTGCAAGATGCTGTATAAATATGCACATACATTTATTATATACTTTATAAAAAGATCCAGAAGTGACTGTACTGAATGCTACAATCCAGTTTTCATCACCTCCATTGATTTGCAATACACAACTTCTTGGTGGATCCATCCATGGATTGAACTACATTTTCTAACAAAGTAAGACTTGTGTCCACAAAAAAATATATATACATTAATTTAAAGATGTCTCACCTTGTATTATATTTCAAAGCCCAGTCACCTAATTTGCACAAAATGTGTTGTTTTTATCCCATTCTTCTGTGTGCAGCAGAAGCCAAGGTCCAGATGGTGATAGCATGCTTCCCCCCCCCCCATTTCCAACCACGCTCTGCAAGGAAAAGGTCTCTTAAATCACAGGTCTTATCCCTATGTCTTTGCACTTTCCAAGCACAAGCAAGATCATGGGATTGC